GATGAAGCTGTTGTTAAGCACAACGTCGACGGTCAGGCCGTTGAGGACATAAAGGTCGCAGTAGACAGACTGCGACGAGTCACCGAATTTCCACATGGCGTCCCGAACGACGCCTGTAGTAAAAATCGTTGATCCGTCCGCTAACTCAAGTTCGAGTCGGTGCTGAGGGTCATGATCAATCTTGAACTTGTTTTCCTTCGCGAACTCAGCCGACACCAACATGACATCGGATCCAGTGTCGGAAAGGGCGAGAGCAGACCTGTTGTTCAACGACCCCCAGAGTCGCTGCCTCTCGTTACCAAGTAGGCTGAGGCGAAGAGTGCTTTTCTTAATCTGGCGTATCGTTTCCTTGATTCGACTTTTGAAGGTCGTGAGAGTCTTCGTGGTGCGAAGAAATGCTCCAGAAAGAATGAGTTCATTTGTGCACCCCGGAATGATCAAACAGTCCAGCAGGTATTTCTTGACCTCCCCACAAAATGAAAATGGAACCTTGACAGTGCCTCGTGATAGAACTTGCTTCCCTCCCGGTAGTTGAATACTTCTAGAGATTCTATCGTGGGGCACAATACCAAGCTTTTCGACAAATTGTTGCGAGATGAAATTGGATTGGGCACCAGTGTCAGCTAGTGCGTCCACTCGTTGTTTCCCAATCTGTCCTTCCACCTTGTAGTCTTTAAGGCTGGAGAAGCTTGTATCGTGCTTGGACGGCCGCGGGGAGGAACCATGACTGGAACTCAATTTTCCTGCAATGGTGTCTCGTTGTTTCCAAATGCTTCCTTCAGCCTTGTAATCGTCGAGGCTGGAGAATTTTGTATCGTGCTTGGACGGCCGCCAGGGCGTGGCACGCTTCGCAGCCAACTTTCGTACGATGGCGCCGGCAGAGGGATGTAGTTTCACAAAAAGATCATAAAACTCCATATTGTCTGGCTTATGGCGCTCGGCTAGATCTTGCAGCTGTTCTTTATTGGCCCAGAAGTTGGCAGTAGCCTTGAGCCTGGCCACTAGTTTGACCATGGCAATATTTCTCCTCACTCGTTCAGGCTCATCTTTTGGTTCGGTCTCCGGCTGGCGTATCAGCTCTTCTAGTTCAAGCTCATCTTCAGGGTTTCTTTTGGCGAACGGTTGGCGCAGTGTTGGGGGGTCGGACTCCGTAGAAATAATAGGAGGTTGAGATGGTCCATACGAGTCAGTTGAAGGATTTCGCTCGGCTAGACTGGTCGGGATAATAGAGAAACCCCAAAATGGGGCTATCAAGCTTTTCTGCACACTATGAATGGTTTTCCAGGCATCGCTATCGCGTGAGAATAACGTAAGCCTGTATGTAGCGTACCGAAAGCATTGGAAGGTAAGCTCACTGGTAAATGTCTGGTTCCTCTACTTTCTCTGGTTCTTCTTGGGCGTGAGGCCCGGGGTATCGAGCCCAACTTCCATAGAGACCTGCCATGTCAAAGCTAGACAGGACAAGACTTAAGCGCGCCGTGTCTATTAGTTGGCTTAATCGAGGTAGGAGAAGGGGAAAGGAAGATTCGGATAAGAAGTGCTGTGGTGGAAAAGCTCCTTCATAATAAAGAATAAAACAGACTGGGGGGCTATGCAAATAGCGGCGGGCGTTTTTGGCGCGCAAATGCGCAATGTGTTGTCATGGTGGCACAATATTTCCGCCTGGCTGTCTTGTCCTGAGGCTGACTGAGACGCCCTGCAGAGGGCAACAGATGCCCCTCAGTCTACTCTGTACACACCCACCACCACACACATTACTGTGCCATGGATACTTTTGTAAGAATTAGGATTCATTGAGAGATTACAACCCTTTGTATCGTAAATTGGGCAGCCTGAAAATACTCACTCAACTTGAGAAGCAAAAAGATTGCCTGATCGAAGAGCAAAAGTAAAGGTTTGCGGTTTGTGTGGATCGAACACACGACCTTCAGATATCGGATGATTGAAGTGGACTTCAGTCTGACGCTCTCCCAACTGAGCTAAACCCGCGACTTGCGATTATGTCAGCTACTCCAGTATTGAACTCCAAGACCGCTAGCTGCTTGACACTACGTGCGGTGTGGAAGGGCATGGCGTGGGTATCCTGCTCACATCCGACGTAAGAATGTCGACCGCTGTTCAATTGAAGGGTAAAGAGCCGAAGCAACATACAAGGTAAAAACTCCCTTGTCTACCTAGGTGATCGTTAGTTCATGTTTCTACTACCTAACCACATTGAAGACCACTTCATGAGAAACATGCTGTTTAACAATTGCATATATAAACCTTTCGCTTCGACTGACTGATATGCTACATAACATCGTAAAACTCTCAATTCCACCAAGCTTACTCGTTGTCCCTGACATCGATAACAGTAGACTTGAACTTCCTCGCAGGAACCTTGCGCTTGAACAGAATATCCGTCTCACGGTACGATCTATCCTTAAGCTCAGGAAGGAAGAAGTACGCCGACACAAAGCAAACAACAGCCGTACCGCCCCAAACATAACCACACTTTCCAGCAAGGTTCCATCCCGTAGGGTTCAACAGCTGAGAGGCGAGGTAAATCATGGGGATTTCGGCAACGTAGTAAGCCGCACGACCAACACCAGTGCTCAGAGCACGGAGGCGAACGGACGACGTCTCAGCGATGATGGTGTATGAGATAGGTCCCAGACTGCCGGCGTAGACGAAGGAGATTAATATTCCGAGGACTGCTTGGGCGTAGTTTGTGGCGGTGCTTTGGTGGATGGAGGCTACGACGCCGAGGAGGAAGAGGAAGGTTACGTTGGTGATTGTGCCCCAGAGGTAAATTGTTCGACGACCGAACCAGCCTGCGACGGGGACGGAGATGATGTTGGCGACGAATTGGAGGCATGAGTTGACGAGGTTAAGTTGGAAAGCGCGCTCGGAAGAAACACCAGCCTCTGCGAAAGGTTAGCTTCGTTTACCCATGCATAGATAGGGTTGGGGATTGTGACTTACGCTCAAAGAAGAAAGTAGCTTGGTTGGCGATTAAGTTACCAGCAAAGTTCTGCGAAGCATAGATCAAACAAGTAATAATTGTTCGTCGCAGATCGGTACCCTTGAACAGATCAAGAAGAGAAGGGTTTCCACCAAGCTTTTCCTCAATCTCGACTGTTCGCTCCATCATGGCAAGCTTCTGCTGGGAGACTTCCTTATCTTTGCTTCCGAGACGTTCGATAGAGCGGAGAGCTTCTTCCTTACGGCCCTTTCGGATGAGCCACCAAGGAGACTCGGGCATGAGGAAGACGAGGATCAGGAGTGGTGTCTGATGCAGATGTTAGTTGGTGCTGCCATAGATAGAGTAGAGGAAACTTACGGGGAAGATCCACTGCAGAGCCAAGGGTACACGCCACGCCCACTGGTCGTTACGCTTGTTGTAGGCATATGTGGCACCAGCGACGATGATGGATCCAATGGACCAACTCATTTGTAGTGTAGCTGTACAAGCACCTCGAAGGGAGAGAGGGACGATCTCAGAAGCGTAGGCAGGAGAGTTGGCGATGAAGAAGCCCCATGGGACACCTTCCAAGGCTTGTCCGACGACGAGGAGTTCGAGCGAGTCGGCCTGTAAACGAACCATTAGACGACACCTTAATAGCAGAGATAGTCGGAGGACTTACAAAGAATGAGATAAAGATGGTAGCGTTCATAAGCATCAGCGCAAAGATCGTCGTCCATCGATATCCGAAGCGGTTGGTAATAGGTCCAGCAACAAAAACACCAACAAAAGCACCACATTGACCAGCTTGGAAAAGAGCACTCTGCCACCTTGTAGGAATGGTCCAGCCATGTCCCTCAACGTGGACACCGTAGTGTTTCTGAAAAGCGGGAAGGGCGACAAAGTTTCCGTTCAAGAACATATCGAAGGACTCCATGACCTACAGAGTGTTAGTAATTGTTGATGTGAGAGTGAGACGGTGATGACTTACGATGGTAAAGCACATCATAAAGGCCCAGAAGCATGCCCAAGGATGAGCTTTGGCTGCTGCCCAGGCACCTTGCTCATGTTCACGGCGTTCAGCGTCGAAAGCATCGCTCATGAGATCAGGGTTGTGCAACACCTCGGCATGATCGACGTCGCCGTGAGCAAGCTCATCTTTTGACTTGAGAACTGGAGAAGACATCTTGAGTACAGATGATAGAGAAGAGATCCAGTATATTTCCTGGGGAATTTTAAGATTATTTATTAAAAACGGTCCTCTCCGCAATTCCAGCCGTTCTCTAACGTCGAGGCGAATATCGCCCAGTCTAAAGATACAGTACGTGGAACTCACGATACGAAACAGCACTTACATCTTCTTTCCTTCAGCTGTGATAGGTGCGCATACGTTGGAAATACCGGCAACACGGCAAAGACGGCACAGAGGCACGTACCGGACTGATGCCCGTACTGGTTAGTGCCCCTTCAGCGATGGGGTACTGGAGATTTGGGGATGGACGATCTCGGGGAAGATAAAACGCAAGACACGAGCACTGCAATTTAGCAGAGGCGAGTCTGTATTATTCTTTCCCTAGAGTGACGATCTTCTTCAGTGATGTAGTACGGGCCGAATGAATGGATGGGTCTTGGCTTTGAGAGGTTAGTCTCCGTGCGGAGCGAACCAGTCGGTGATGACAATGTTGGGGAAAATGTTGGAGAATCCACTATCCCCATGGGCATTGAAGGGATATCTCCATAAACCGAGGTAACGTAACATTGTATAATGGGGTTTTCTTGGTCTGATACAATTCATTGCAAGGGCAGTTCCTTGAATGTTAAGCTTGAGTGTTTTTGAGTCGTGACCCCATGGGGGAAGCAAGAAAAGATTGGAGAATCCGTGCGGGGGGATTGAGGTAAATTATTTTGCCTCCACTTACTCTACTCTGTCACGGTTGGGCCGCTTCGGTCTTCTCTCCAGAGGATGGATGTCACTGATGGTGCTTACTGACTCTGTTTTTAGACTGAACTTTACGCTGAATCGATTAAGATAATTACGTAGCCACACTTAGGGCTTTCATCGGCTCTTGAGTTCACTCTTGAAGTCCTCCTTCTGAGCCCTGATCTCCCCCTTCATCCCCCTCATAATATCCTTGACCTCTGATTTGAGCGCTTTCTTATCCTCCTTGGAAAGTTTACCACTCTTCTTCGCCGTGTAAACTTCCTGCACAAAGCCTGCTATGATGCTGACAGCGGCTTGGACGGCGCATTTGGCGCATTGGTCGCCGTGCTTCAAAGTCTCTACGGCGTCGGCGAGGCCTTGAAGTTCGGCTCTGGGGCGAGATTGGAGAAGGTTGTCGAGATGAGGGGTCTGAGAGAGGCCGTGGATTGCGCAGTCGTTGGGGGCGTTGACTGTGGTGACAGGGGTCTTGGAGTCCAGTTGAATGGGCGTTGCGGTTGTGGTCATTTTGAAGGCTTGGTTTGAAGTGAGTATTGATCAATGAAATGCATTACTGACAATCATTTAAATACTTATATTTACGACACTCTACAATGGCTTTTTGAAGCCTTTCTCGGTGTTTTTGGCGGCTTTGGAAGAAGACGCTGAAATGACCGGTTCGCCGACCGGGGAATTGTATTGCCCGGTCGGACAATGTTCTCAAGGCAGCGAACTGTCCACCAAGCGCACGATACATAATTCCTCTATGTCTAATATGACATTCCTTGAGATTTATCGCAAAGCTTGCTTCCATCGTTCAGATGCTCTCCTTTTGTCTGAGATTGTGGTGCCGTATAGCCGGTTGCTCTTTGAATGACGCACTTGATCCTCCAGGCCCTCCAACCAACTAACATGAACCCCTACGCAGTCTCCTACAGTGGTGATAGCGCTATCAGTTAAGGACTATTCCCAGAGTCCGTTGTCCGTTTTCTGTTTGTCCATACTCCGGAATAAGTCATATCGTGATGTTTTTGGAAACGATAAATTAGAACATATATCCAGGCGAAATAGTTGATCTTTGTAGTATTAATCCATCTATTGTTAATAAATTACTCTGTCCAATGTCAGGCCTCAAAGTCCTCGTGTCGGGCGCGTCCATAGCGGGCCCAGCAACAGCATACTGGCTCGCCAAAGCCGGCGCCCAAGTCACCGTTATAGAACGCTTCCCATCTCTACGAACAGGCGGACAAGCCGTCGACATTCGCACCGCTGGCGTTGCAGTTATGCGAAAAATGCCTGGTTTCGAAGCTGCTATAAGAGCAAAGTCGACGCAAGAGGAGGGCATCAGTTTTGTTAATTCGGATGGAGAGCCGTACGGTGTTATCAGGCCTACTGGGAATCCCGACCAGCAGTCGCTCGTTTCTGAGTATGAGATTTTACGCGGTGACTTGTCCAAGATTCTTTTCGATATCACTGAAAAGGATAAAAATGTCAATTATATTTTTGATGAGCAGATTGCTTCCATGAGCCAGAGCGAAAAGGTGGATGGGCCTGTGACAGTCACTTTTGCGAATGGCACAGCGACGTCGAAATATGATCTGGTCATTGCCTGCGATGGAGCGACATCCAGAACTCGCGCATTGGGTTTTGGAGGTCAAGTTCGAGATCCAATTATTTCTACCAACTGCTGGACAGCATACTTCTCAACATCCGAAGATCTTCTCAAAGGAAGCAAAATTGGGCAAGGATACAGCGCTGTGGGAGGGCGCAACATTAGCATTGGCTCAGACGTCGCAGGCTTCAGTCGCGTTGTGCTCATGTGCATGAACCAAAGCCCCGAATCAATCCAGGCCTTCCGAAAATCTCAATCAGAAGGCGAAGTTCCACTAAAGAAGTACATCGCTCAGCATTACCAAGGCGTCGGTTGGAAAACAGACACCGCACTCCGACAAATGATGGACTCAACAGATTTCTACGCCAGCGAAATGGTTCAAGTCAAAACGCCCCATCTTTACCGCGGTCGCTTCGTTTTAGTGGGCGACGCAGGCTACGCAGCAGGTCTTACAGGCGCTGGAACGAGTCTCGCCCTCGCTGGCGCTTATGTCTTAGCGGGCGAGTTGAAGAAGCACGATGGGGATATTTCTGCTGGTCTTCGCGGTTATGAAGCGCAAATTAGGCCGTTGATTAACAAGATGCAGCCAATTCCGCCGCTGGTTACTACAATTCTTGCACCGCAGACTGCGTGGGGGATTTGGTTGAGGAATAATATCTTTGGGTTTATTGCGCAGTCGGGATTGGTTGAGTTTGTGCAGAAGTTTCTTGGGGCTGGGTTTGGGAATGCTAAAGAGTTTCCCATCCCAGAGTATGACTGGGAGGATCAATGCTAGCTCTTGATAATTATCCTATTTTCTATTCTTTTTTCCCCCTTCTTTTTCTTGTCTTATTTAACCTCCTTAATTTATCGCAGAAAGTCCAGTAAGATACATAGCGGCTGGTAGCAGCTTAATGAAGTCGAGTGCTGGGACGCTCTCATGAGCCCAATGACTGACAACCACACAGTTCAGAAAGCGCAAGTGAACTTGGACTTAAGCTTGTATCGAGACGTTCACGACCATTCAATTCAGCCGGTTTCACCAAACAGAACTCGGTAAGTTTAACAGATTTGATTGTATTCTTTGGTCTAAGCTGTACTCTAGCTCCCTACAAAGAAGGAACGTGATATCTATGTACCAAAGGAATGTTTGCAACAAAGTGCATTGTGAATTAAAGAAAGGAATGTTCAGGCTCAAGTGGAACCCGGGCTCATGAAAAGCTAATTTTAAATAAAAAGGAAATTTTGTTGTTGCAGCTTTTTGTAAAGATCCTATTGCTTATTGATCGTCGCTGTCGTCGTCGTCGAAAGAACCGTCATCCTCAGCGAGAGGAGCGTCAGTGCCAGCAGAAGGAGCGTCGGTAACAGTAGAAGTGACTGCGGTTGTTGAGCCAGTACCAGTGGTAGTGGCAGTGTTGGAAGCGATAGTGGTAGAGCCAGTAGCTGTAGCGGTGGCAGTAGCAGAAGCAGTCTTGGCTGAAGAATAACAAGAGGCCTTCTTATCATCACAGGTAGCTCGGTCGTTGGACTTGTCCCGAATACACATGTAGTGCTCATATCGGCACTTTCGACGGCTCTGCTCCTTTCCCCACCAAGCCCTCAAACCACCACTAGGGAGAGCAGGTCTGGAGAGGGTGTTTGTACCGGTGGGAGCAGAAGTTGGCTTGCTACCCGTGACGGTGGAAGCTGGGGCGGAGGCAGCAGAGGAAGTGCCGGACTTGAGACAGGTTTGGTAGTCTGAGATACAGGCACTCTGATCCTTTTGCGACTTGGACATCAGGCAGGCGTTCAAGGTGCCAATGCACTTGTTTTGGCTGCTACCGAAAAACCAGTTTGACATGAAGGGGAGGTTGGAAATGGCGGCTCGGGAGGGAGCTGCGGTGGTTGAGGTTGCTGAGGCAGTGGTTGTGAGAGTGGTGCTGCTGGGCTTCTTGTGGGCCTGGGGGTGAGCGGCGGCTGAGGCTGCGAGAGCAAGGGTGAGGATTGAGACCTTCATATTGTTGATTTTCTGTTTACAAGTATAAGTGCTTGGTGTATGGTTGGTGATGACGCAAAGGTTGCAGTTTCTGAGCTTTGTCAAAGAACTTGTGAGTTGGAGTGACGAAGCAGAAGTGTTACAGAGGAGTCGATGAGGGTTTATATAACCTAAACTTCCCATCCATCTTGATGCAACTTTTGCCTCCGGTCCAGACCTGACGATGCTTGACGTAGCGTCAATTCCCACGTCGTGGCTTGATTAACATCTGCATTCCCGTCGGGGAGCCACAGCGCCACTTGGTAAGGAATCAACCATGACCCATTCAAGGCACGTTGGTGCCTGTCAGGGTCTCGATGTCGTAAGGATAAAGTTTAATCGCGTAGATCCAGGAACTGCAAGGGACTAGTGTCACGATAAACTCTGGTGTAAATTCCACAACCAGGGACAATCACACTTTTCCGGCTGGCGGTTTTACAAATACTGAACTGGACCCTGGACCCCTCATTCCAAGTGAGAGTCTCGATTAGATTTTGGCTCAGGTCATCGACGATGGGAGGGAGATCTGGGAAGAAATTTGCGTTGGAATATCTAACTACATCATCATGCTCCATCGGACTCCGAAGCTGTTTGGTGTTGAACATCGTTGACTCAACTCTTGCCACCAGTGATCTGCCAGCGTTATGTCATAGTTGAGCTGGTCTAGCCGTCCCAGTACCTTCATCAGAGATCCTCTTGACTCTGCAGTAGTTCTTCCGCGAACGGGTACCATCACACAAGCAACGCCACCTAGGGCCCAGACAGTGACCCTGGCCGAGTCTGGCCGGGAATATGAGATACCCGAGACATTGTCTGGGCCCTCCAGGCATTACCACTTCCGTCTTCCCGCTCTTGACAGTTCCGAAATCGGTTTAGTCCCGATGTCCCCGTTTGTCTCGAACCTGTCTTGGCTGAAAGCTCCAAGGTCATCATTTCTGAGCTTCAGTATGCCTACAGGCTAGTTATTTGGTATTATTAACTTCTTATTATACTGGTCATGAGATGTGTTCACAACTAGGCTATGTAATAGTCCTGGGTCCAGCACTGAGAGAATTATATGGTTCCTCTATACTGGAATGAGGGAGGGCCATTCCCATGGGGTAATCCCGTGGTATGGAGACGGCCCGAAGAGCTGTGGCCACTTGATCAACTTCCTTTTTCAGTCAGCTGGCCGAACGTGTAAGCTGCATGACTCCAGCAGTCCAGCTATCTATCATGACTGCACTTGACTATTAAGCATGAAGCTTGGTTACGCCACGACAGGAGCAGGAACCGAGAATGTCCGGGGCTCCTCAGGGTAATATGGAGCGCCACACGATCTAGCCCTCAAGTTTTGAATGGTATTGACATCATTGGCATTCATTCATAAGCTAGTACAATTTTGTCATTTACACGAGTCAAGTCGACTTTTCCCTCCTACTCGAGTTGCATCCTCTTCGAGTGCATATACTCATAGTCAGGCATAACATCCCTCACCCACTTCTCAAGCTTCTTCGCTTCTCCCTCTCCAAACTCCTCCGTCCACTTGACAACCTCCTGATCAATATCAATATTTCCAGCAACCTTGCTATTATCAATAGCGGTGCTAGCGTTGATAGAGCTCAGCATTCGCTGCTCCATAGTGCTCAGCTTGTTCAGCTCTTCGTTTCCAGCCTTGTCCCACGACCGACGAACCTTGCTCTCGTCAAGACCTGCCAGCTTTGCGTACTGGGATACCAGCTGGGGCTTCGTCATGATATCATCAGCGTCGAGGACGATGGGCCAGACGCTGTCGTTGCCAAAATACTCGGCGTAAAAATTGTAGAGTGATCGATGCCAGCGCATGGTGACTTCTGTACGACAGGGTTCCCTTCTTGGGCGGCTAATGCCTTTCAAGTCAATCTCGGCAAGAGATGTTCGATAAAGAGAGGGAATCATGAGAGCAGGGTGACGGATGAGGAATGTCGGGTTCCAAGTCTTGAGGAACTCATCAGGGAAAAGGGTAAGGTTGTTCTTCGAACGTGTAGGCTCCACGATACCCTTAACGGGCACAGGAGTAGCTTCAGTAATAGCACGCTCCTCCTTGGAACCATTGATATAATGATCCTCGACACGAGGATGATTCAGCATGATAGAATGTTCTTTGATGTAAAGTTTTTGACCTTCTGCCTCAGCAGCAGCGATGTGGTCTTGGAAAGCTTGCGAGCATTGCTGAATGATTTCATCGATAGGTGCCTTCTCCTCTTCGGTCCATGTGTCCATAGGCTTTTGCTCGACAAGGAAATGCTTTTGGATGGCGGGCAGGAAGAAGTATCCTCCGTGGTTGGCAGGACGAACGCCTTGTTCATCAAGGTTGAGCATCTTGACGAGAAGGTTGGAGGCAGTGCGAGGGCATGTGAGAAGCCAGTAGCGGCCTCTTTGACGGGTTTGTGCGCCTTGAGCCATTGTGAGAAGGTGTTGTGGAGTTGTGATGTTGTGATGTTGGCAAGAAAGATGGTAGAGTGTAGTATTTGCTTTGAGCTTGGAGAGTCTGTTGAGAGTTATACAAAGTTGGTGGCGACCAAGGCTTTTAATAAGGACAAGACTATGCAACTTTCCAAAATATCCTTGACCTTGGGTTCAACGAATTGACCGACGTAGTACGGATGTCGGTCAATTCCATTGTCCGGATCGTCGCCCCGGCCCGTCGCCTAGCAGAAAATAGCGGACATATGCAGCAAATTACCTGAAATTGTGATGAATCACAGTGTAATTCATGCGCGGACATGCGACAATGTCCGATAGTTACCCATTTGTAAGCGGAAGTTTCACCTTCTTGGGCTTCCCTGCCGGTGTCAGTCATACTTCGCTTAAGCAGTGTCGTTATCATGCTTGATTTCCACGTATACGGACACAATCACAAGGTGACTCAAGCCGGCTGCATGCTTCAACGGGCGCTATTCACTTCCATTTGTTGAAGAATTGAGCCTCAACAGGAAAGCCGTTAGCGCCCGTGAGACTGCACCTGCAGGTACTTGTGTATCGATCGACAACGTATGATCTAATGGTAACTCCACCAAGTGATTCATCTAAGACGCGAGATCCGAGATGCCCACAAAGAGCCGCCCGACTACCGATTTTCCTATGTCGGCTTTTTCTCAGACGCCGACCACCGATGCATCTGTCTTACCATTGGGGCGGAAGTTCGGTTCTTTGGTTCTGCCGCTTATTAAGCGCTGTCATATCATGATGGCCTCGGAGAGTTTTTAGACTTATCCTTCGCGAATGCAACCCTGATCTATATTTAAGAGTCATTGACGATTTTGCCAAGCCTGGAGATATCGGTCTATCGGCACGAAAGTGATATGATTGCTTGGTTCCCGAGAGCTGACGCGACAATTGACCCATTGCACGCAGAGTCATAGATGGTTTGTAATCACTGTAACAACTCGGACTATCGTCTCGGGTGATGCCCGGACTTCTCAATAGAGATGAAAAGTACAGTGAGAATATAGCCTCGTCTAGAATCCTGTTGTTTTCTCAGGGTTGTATCACAGTCGATGTGACAACGTGCCAGGGTCTAGTCATGAGAGGGTCGTCTACCAGTTGCACGCTGGTGCACCCAGTCATGATGTCGTCCGTTCATCAGGTTGGGGCGAATTCCCAGTCAACAGCTTTACCTCTACTACTCAACTAGACGAATGATTCTTGTTTCCACACTTGTGTCGTTTATAAATCGAACATTGGTGACCAAGACAAATATATATGTTTAGGTGGCTTGCTCACACGCAATAGGCTTGGAGAGCCCACGATACTTCGGTTACTTGATGCTTCGCAAATTTTGTTTGTAATTTTCTCTAAGCGCGCCAGCGGCATCTTGGAAGGGCTCATCAATCTAATAATATCGTCAATAGCAACGCCAGTGGTAAGGTAGAGTTGGCTCACTGTCCAGCATTTTCAAGAAGGTCATGGAGGGTAGTCAACTATCATGATCTATTCTATTTTTCCCGTTGACACTTCTGTGGTCAAGCCATATCTGCCTCAAGTCCGCTCGGTACGGCCATGCCTTTTGCCATTTCTCAGCTTGTCGTCGGGTGCGTCTCCCAGAGTTAACAACCAGTATCTCAGACATTACAATAGTTGTATAGCGAACTTTTTAGACCTTCATTCTAAGTTCAATATCTTTCTAAACACTCATATCTCATCCACGACATTGCCCAGTTATTCACCAATATGAACGACATTATTGCAGAACAGATCAGTAGTGAACAGACTGCAAATCAGTCGTCCTAGAATATTTCTGTAATACTATCGCCAAGAACCTTTGTCTACTATCCATCGCTGGCGTTTCTCTTAGGAATGAATAGGTAGCGCCAAGAATCGGCTGTATGACTGTCTGCCAACGACTTGTGGCTGATGGGACGGCATCAATGACATAAAATGCGGGGAACTTGTCATTGACAAAACCACTCCACGCCCTTGAAATGTCATGAATGACAAGCGCTATAAACCTCTAAGCATCCTCATCTTTCTATAATTAAGGCACCGGGATGTTAATTGAAAGGCTCACTGCTCCATGACATTCCCCCAGCTTGCAATGGACTGCTCACCCTTCCCAGACCAAGCCGAACAGCTTAACGAGATCAGCTTATCCTTCCAAGCAATCTTCGATCGCCTTCTCCAGACAACACAAAACGTCAGCAAAGATCCAATCCTGCGGTTAGCTGGACCAGAAGAGATTCTTCAGCTCAAAGAGATCAGTGCGCCAGGGACTGCGCATCCAGTACAAGATGCTATCGAGGATGCATTCACCATCTCAGACTTTCGCTTCCGGATGAGTCATCCCAAGACTTTCGCATTCATCCCAGCTCCTGTTTCTCCATTATCTTGGATAGGAGATTGTATTGCGCAGGCTTTCAACTCATTCGCTGGGTCGGCGCTGCAAGGTCCGGGTGTGGCCATTGTAGAACAAACGTTGCTGCAATGGTTGGCTTCCAAGGTTGGAATGCCGGATACTGCAGGTGGTGTGTTCGTTTCTGGTGGTTCGATGGCTAATATGAGTGGCATGGTGTTGGCCAGAGAGTGTATCTTGGAAGACGGTACTGAAAGTCTGGGCATCGCCTATCTATCCGATCAAACTCATCATTCGGTTATAAAAGCGCTTCGTATCATTGGTATCAAACGAAGCCAGATACGCTTAATACCCACCAACTCTTCCCTCCAGATGGACATAGCTGCACTCACTGAGACCATCAAAGCCGATCGCGAAGCGGGCCTCAAACCCTTCGTCATCATAGGAACATGTGGCACGACAAAAACCGGCAGTATCGACCCGTTACAAGACCTAGCTCAAGTCCGAGACGACGAAAAGATATGGCTTCACATCGACGGCGCTTACGGAGCTTCAGTTGCTCTAGGCGCTACAAGAAGCAACTTTACCAACGGTCTGGGGCTGGCAGATAGTATCTCCTGGGATGCGCACAAGTGGCTCTTCCAAACATACAGCTGCAGTCTAATCTTGGTCCGAAACAAATTCAACCTGGCAAAAGTATACGCCAACGACGGCGACTATCTCCGCGATGCTCTCGAACACGATGAAATTCCCGACTTTTGGAACTTGGGCATGGAACTTACTCGACCATCACGCGCGATGAAACTATGGTTTACACTACGAGTTCTCGGTGTAGAAACCGTGGGCAAGATGATAGACCATGGTTTCGATCTTGCGGAGATTGCCGAGGCTGAAGTTAAGAAGCTAGACGAGTGGGAGGTTACTAGTCCTGCGAGTATGGCGATAGTGACTTTTCGATATGCCCCTCCGGGAAGGACGGATGAGGAGCTTGATGGGCTAAATGCGTCTATTTCAAAGTATTTTATGGATAATAATATTGCGGGGATGTTGACGACGAAGATCCGGGGGAGGGTTGTTTTGAGGATATGTTCGATAAGTCCTGTGCTGAGACTTGAGGAGATGGTGGAAATCATTCAGAGGGCTGATCAGGTTGCTAAGCTCCTTACACAAAGATAAGATACAACAGCATAGCTTGTCCAAGCATGGGGTTTGCTATAGATTGCAAGACTGAGCCTTTCTTGCTTACATCGCGTACGTCAAGAAGCACATATTTGTCAGCCTTAATGGCGTCGTCCACCAGACCTATCCATCGACATTCACTACAACCTCAACAATATGTTGATTGATTAGCATAGATATTTTGATCTTGATCTTGATGTCTATTGATAATCGATAAGTAGCTTTCCATTTACCATTTGTGATGACGTGCTATTAGATAAGGCTGGTGCAGTGATTACCAATGTTTCACTGCATTCCCATGATTACTCCCCACCTTTACGGATCCTTCGGACCACACAGGATTCACGAAGACCGAGCTCATCACTCTTTCGGTCCCGTCGCAGTTTCATGCCTCCATCGCGCGCGGTAATTCACCATACCTGAGGGTGTTTGTCAGCTTACATACACCATAGCATTTGGGGTGCCAAGGAAGGAATTATATAGATGTCCGTTCATTCCTAGACAGTCAATTATTATTTCCTCTTCGTGTCAATCACAATTCTTACGTCTATTTCATCATGACAGTGTCAGCCTCTAAGCCAATTCTCATCGCAGGCTCTGGCCTCGCATCCCTTCTCCTAGCTCAATCTCTCAAACAATCCAACATCCCATTCAAGATTTTTGAACGCGATTCTTCATTCGTCTTTCGCGCACAAGGATACAGACTTCGTCTTTCAGACGAGGGTCTCGACGCAATTGAATCTGTTCTCGATAAAGCTACATGGAACCGCTTCTGGGAAGCCTGTGGCAAGACAGGTGGTAGCGGTTTCAAGGCTTTTGATGCCATCACTGGCGAAAATACAGAAAATGTGATTGGAGAGAGTTTGTCATCGCGCGATGGTAAGATTGTTGGTATTGCGAGGGGTGAAATGAGGAAGATCTTTGCTCAAGGCTGTGAAGACTACATCGAGTGGAACAAGAACGTTACAGACTACGAATTGACCGATGGTGGTGTCCGCGCCATTTTCTCAGATGGAAGCAAGTCTGTTGAAGGATCCTTGCTTGTTGGAGGCGAGGGAATTTACTCGAAAACGGCGACACGAGTCTCGGATGGAAAACTCAAGGTCTACGACACTGGTGCAAGAGGTATTCATGGCCAGGCACCTACCACAGCATTCAAACAACTAGGCGAAGGCGTCTTTCGACTTCGCGATGACTCTCACCCTGAAGGATCATCTTTTCTCATGACCAACGTCCGTTCTGGAGACATGGACAATCCCGACGTCATGTTCGGCTGGACCATGGGCGGCAACCCAGGTGTTATCCGCGCACCAAACGACAATTACGCCATCGTAGGCAAACAAGCCGCCGACATCGCCAGATCCATCTCCAAGAACTGGAGTTCAAAATTTCAACCTCTGTTTGAGCAGATGGATGAATCTGAAGCAGCGTTTTGGAAAATCACATGCTCAACACCATCGGGTGTGCCGGAATGGAAGAATGAGCCTCGCGTAACGGTGATTGGCGATGCAGCGCATTCAATGACGCCTGCTGGTGGTCTTGGTGCGAACACAGCTGTTCAAGATTCTGCGCTGCTGGGAAGATTGTTGCGTGAAGCTGGTGGGTGGGCTCCCGGAGTCACGGCTTCTTATGAGAAGGAGATGAGGGTTTATGGTAGTAAAGCTGTTGCGCAGAGTTATGGTATGGCTGCAAAGGGATTTGGAAGTCTCATCGATGAGGAGACGAGTCCGGTTGTAAATGTTCGAGCATAAGCGTTTCATATGTCGATGATCAACAGGGTATTTTCTTTGACAATACGAATCAACAAATGACATTCTCCCACTTTCCTGTTAAAAATAACCGCCGTTGTTTGTCACTGCCAATCACAAGCAGGTGGATTGTTTGGTTTGGCGGCGCAGCCCGGGATTGCGTAATGGTCTTACAGATCACGTGATGGCTGTGAGAGGAGAGGAGCAAGAGAGTTCAAGCTGTTTGGGTTGGGTATGACATTGCATCCTTTCATTTCCCAAATCTGACTGTGAACAAACACACAATTTTACGTTCAATTGCCTTTATTCATTCTTGAAACGTTCATCACCATGCTAAATTAGCGCTTACAACTGACATTCAGTGGGGTTGTTGCTTCAGAATCAGTGGCTGTCAAATTTGCGACAAATCATCCAATTTCCCGTCAATCCGACCCAAAACAACGCCTATATTACCCAGAATTATTGCGATACAGCCATGCGCAGAGAGATTGTGTCATTAATCAACAACTCTTGACAAGACGTCAATCGAACAGACGTCAATCACTCACAATGTTTCGTCGGTCTTGGCGCGACGAAGTGGTAAAAGGCGCCACATTCGTCAGCGCCGTCTCCACGCGTCAACGCTTCATAAAAACCGTTGGCATCTTCATCGCCTTCATCTGTCTCCTCACGCTGTGGGAATTTTGGACCGATTTATCTTTCGCGTATCAGAGAGTAACGTCATCGACAGCGACGTCAAGCTTGGCACCGCCAAGCGAACCCACTCTGCCGCAATTCACTGGTCCGACTAATGAAACAACCGAGTTCTGGACGGATTTGCTGCAACGGTTTTACGAGGCTGAACCTCATGGCAGGAAAATTGCGCCGCCAAAGTCTCTTTCGCGCGACAAGTTTGATCCCCATGGGAGGGAGCCCCAGGTTGATACGGATTGGCTGGAGGTTAATGATGACGAGGTTGAGTCTTTGAAGGAGAATCATGAGACTTTTGTGCAAAGTCTTCGACATCTTGCTCCGAAATTGCCATTTGAGCGCAGCACCAGGGGCATTGTTATTACTTCGAAGGGATCTGGAGTTGGGGTTGCAGCTACTGCTGTACGGATGCTACGACATGTCGGATCACAACTACCAGTGCAGCTGTTTCTCGACTCGGCGACCCAAGAAGAGCATCAGAAATGCAACGACACATTAACACATTTGGAAGTGCAGTGCCTGAACATGGACGACTTCCTGCACCTGCCAAACACTACAGAGATCCGCAAACCAAAGATCAAATCGTACCAGTACAAGGTCCTGTCGATTATCTTCTCCAGCTTCCAGGACATATTATTCCTCGACGCCGATGCTTTCCCTTTGAGAAATCCCGATTATCTCCTCGACGTGGAGCCCTACAAGAGTCGTGGACTTGTCACATGGCCCGACTTTTGGCTGCCTACGATATCTCCACTGTTCTACCAAATCGCTGGAGCAAAGATGCCAAATGTGACTATTGACTCACGAAGTTCCGAGTCAGGAGTCATGCTGTACAACAAGGCGAGACACGCGGACAGTCTCTTGCTGGCAGCTTACTACAACTTTTATGGCCCGAGATTCTATTACCAGCTTCACTCGCAGGGTGCTTGGGGCTCAGGCGACAAGGAGACTTTCATGCAGAGCGCATACGTCTTGGGTAATCCTTTTTACCAGGTCAAGAAATCACCCGAGTTGGTTACTTCTGAGAAGATCAACTGGGGAAGTGGGATCTGGCAGGCCGATCCCGAACAGGACTTCAAGTTGGAAAGCGAACGAAACAAGAACATCACTGCTACATCTTCAAGAAAGCGAAAGCAGAGACTCAATCAGGAAGAGGTCACTATCACGAGTACGATGTTCGCTCACCTCAACAGAGTCAAGTTCGACATAACGCGTCCGATGGAGATTTTGGAAGACCTAGCGCCCGAACATCCAGACGGATCGATAACGAGATTATGGGGAGATGACGTCGGCAAAGTCTCTCATGTAGCCGGATATGACCTCGAAAAGGTGATTTGGGAAGAAGCCATGAAAGCCAACTGCGATCGAGGATTAATGGAGAAATGCAACAAGATCAGGAAATATTACGAGAAAACGTTTAGATAGGAGTGAACATTCACACAGCGATAGAAAACTTGTAGTATAGAGTCGCAACTTGTATATAGACTAATATTCTAAAGTTACTCAGTTCTTGGGCGCATACTTGATACCACTGTCTGGGCAAGATCCTTTGCTGCCATCAGGCTCAGCAGCCACAAATTCACCCTCCTGCAACGAACCCTTGACATTGAAGTGATACCACACTTCACTCAGCGTCTTTCCCTTGCATCCCATCGTGACACGTGCACCATGCTGTCCCGCAAGCGCATCCTCGATCTCCTCATAAGTGTACGTCTTCTCGTCAGATGGCTCGATACCCGCTTCTGAGAGCCACTTGTACGTGGGCAGCTCCTTGAACAGAGAGATGGTCTTCTTGATGTAATCAGCTGCTTCTTCGCCGGATTTGTAACCCGAGTAGCAGCTTGGCTCTAGGGTGCTGATGCAAGTGCCGTGCTTGTCCCACTCGTGCTCCCACAGCGATTCATCGTCGCCGTCTTGGCTAACCCAGTACTTGTCCATGTACGAGAGTGTGGCGTTACCAAGAAACTTGGACACAATTGATTTGATATCGCTGTATTCACGGGACTTGTCGCAGAATTGGGGGTATGTGCCGTCACAGTAATCAGGCCAGAGGCCGTGGATGGTCCACGAGTCTGATACAATCAGTATACTTTCAGTGGAGATATTTGGGGTTGTACATACCAGAGGGTCCGGCAGCGGGGTCAGAGTCCCAGAATTGAGTTTGGAGAAGTTGGCCAGCGGGGATGAAGCAGCATGTATCCTCCACGGCAGTCGTGTTGCGACATGATAGCGGGAGATCACTTGGGCATGATGAGAAGGCGTCGGCTTGCGCTTTGGCAAGGAAGAGCGCAAGCGGGATGAGAGCTTTAGTGAGAGTCATTTTGAGTTTATACCACAAACATGAAGTGTATCGAAATGCTATTTACCAGAGAGCCAAGCGATACTTATATTCTCACTCAAAGCGCACGTGTTCGGCAGTTCCCTTCTAGTCTCGGGGCGAATCGACAGATGAAGCAGTTGCAACGATAAGCTCTGCAATCTGTATCGTCCAAATCCCCACGTGCATTGTATCGCGAAAAATTACCAGGACCTTTTGTCGCTGGGTTCGTTGACCAATGGGATTACTCAATTGTGCATTGACGAGTGCTGATCGGCACTTTTGCGCGACCGAGACGTTGCAACATCAGCCAATGCTATCTCCAGGCTGTTCTAGCATAAAAGATCGCTCTCTCTATAATTTAAGGGACTTCTGCCAATCGAATCATGAATTGGAGCAGGAAAACTGGCAAAATGCTGCTCGATTGACAGGGCGGCGTTGCAGATCTATGCCGATATACCCGTTGTCATCAACGATGACCCGTTTTATGGCAACGGTAATGGCCGATGACGAGGGGGGACTGCGCTATTTCTTATTTACATGCCTATCGAGGTTACTACCGAGATCTTGAATTGACGATCTGCAACTGATTGTCCTCGGGAGGTTTGTTTCACCGCCAATGAGAGACTGAAGATGCGACGCTATCATTGTCCCAGGCACTTTTGGGCACGGAATTGTTAGCGAGATATCGGACGTGGATCCCAAGCCGACGATTCAGCTTAACGGACTTGGCCGACGGATAAGACTTACGATAGCATATCTTATCTTATCACTCTACAGTGTTCAAGACAGTCTGCTTTCGATTGGCACTGTAATTTTCTTTATCTTATCGTCTATCTTATCACTGTACTCGGACTATACCTAATCCGGTGGTACGCTCTTCCCTGCCACAGGTGACAGAGCTTGCCGAGGTTGTAAAGAGTACGCCGAGCACTAACAGTCTTGCTCTTTGACGGCACGCTACAGTGTTAGTGTACAAGTGTTTATTTCTACGAGGCTCCATCTTGTTGCTGAAGCTCTTCACATCTGGCCATTGAACAGGAGTCGTAATCAGCATGTTGGGACTGTTCACCCGAACGACATCAATTATCTCCCCATTATACATGCGAATTGTCAAATATTTGTTTTTGTCAAATCGCGCCCGATCAATGTCATCAATTCCGTCATCATCGCCCAACTTGTCATCATGGAACGAATATGAAAATGTGACCTTCAGGGTAGCTTCACGATCATGGACACTGAGTGTTGGACCAAGAGAGGAGCTTATGTCAGGTTTCCCACAGTTCATGGCCCATTTTGACTCGTGACATGTCAATTGAGATGATCCCCAAAAAGATGTTTCCTACGTCCATTGCTCCCCGTTCCACATTCTCAGCTGTCAAAGAGCGATCGTCTCAAAATAGCGCTATCGCGACCAGCTTACCACTTCTGCTAAGGCTCAAACTAATTCATCCAAACATTTCTTTTGACAGTTACCTCAACGGTCGCTTTATGCCTTGGCGACATAAATGAGATGCATTGCTTTTTACAGGACACATGATCGATCACAAAACCGCTCTATCGTTCAATGCCATTGTTTCTTGCGAGTGCATAAGGCGCCACAATTGAGGCACAGCGTGGCTGTGTGATTCGTTCAATGCTGGGATTGCTTGTCAGGAAATTGCACGGTAGCACTGCATCGCTATTCTTTCTTTTTGCTGCAAAGTCCACGAGTTCGAATCATACGATGGGTCTTTTTCTTGTTTTCTTTTTGCCGTTTCATTCCATGAAGGCTGGCCAGCCCCCTTTCCTTTCCCACGGCCAAGTGCGGCTAAGAAGGAAAAAGAGAACCGTGCGATAAGATAACGAATGCTCTTAGCTTCTCCTGTTCCGGGTCAAGCGATAGCAAAACCCGACCCCACTACGCACAGGAAAAAATCTCCGAGGTTCTCAATCACCAACACATCCATCCCTTTTGAGGAGTCGCAGTTGGTGTCGCCTAAACACGGACCTTTAGTCTGTGAGTGAGAACTGTCTGTAAACACCGAACATCCGTGGGTGATTTCGCTAGAATGCAAGTGCTCAGACCTTGGTAGCTTGAACGGGATAGGCGAAGCTCTATCAGTTCATCCACTGACTCGCCTTTTGACGGAACAGAGTCTAATCGATGGTGCCATGACCCATTCTTAATGCTCCTTAAGGTTAGTGATGGAAAGTTCCTGAAATCGTGATTCGAGGGATACGATCTTGTTGTCTGGTCAGTGGTGATGACTTCTCTACGGTGAGATTGCATCAACAACATCAACATCAACATCAACATGGAAGTGTTTGTGCATGCTTCGTTACCGTCTAATCTCTCATCTCATGGCTTGATAAACATTTCCAAATTTAACTGTCACCTTTTCTTATTCTCGGTGTTACATTGTCACTCTCAAAGCTGATATCTCATGCCCATGATACCAATTGATGCAGGTGATATACGACAAAATGCTTCCTTTAGGGTAAACCTCGATGGATTGAAGAGAACAAGGTCAGTCCATGCTCTGTGAAGATGTGGACCCAAAATCACCAAAAACGATTGAGCGTGATACGAATCGAGTAATCGTAAGCTCGTCAACCCAAAATCCATAGTCTGTTTTACCATTTCAGGTGACTGATGTGCCACCAAGGTTGCCTGAGTGGCTTGCGGGCCGTGTCGTGCCCCATGCGCGAATGTTTCAATCCTTTTTGGGGAATCATACCGACAGAGCAATAAAAACGAAACGGATCGGCCGGGGGAAGTCCACTTTTTGTCGATCCGGCATTGGGCCATGGGCATGGACGGCTCAGGTGGTGGCTTTTTCAGCTTAATGCATTTTAAGATTACGGGAGGGGGCACGACCTCAACTCTCAACACCTCTGTTTCTATACTGAGAAAGAATTCACAGTTAACCTGAAACGAATCTTTCTGGAACCAGAGCTGAAACTAACTATACCGAGAACACACAGGATTTGCGCGCTGTGGCCAACCTTCAACATGGATCTCGTAGCTTTAGCCCTGTCGCTTGATTTTCGCCGCATCTTTCGCCCTAGATCATCCAGCTGAACGATGTCACGACCATGGACGATGCTGGATGATGATCCGACGTTTATTGTCGCAAGACGACATAATTCCACCACTCTTCTAGAAGCACACTATTTACACACTACAAGCAACATGACACTGCTTTTCTGATGAGCAATCTCTTTTTACAGCCGGATATAATCTCAACTCTGCAGTAGCTTAGCTTCTTCTGCAAGCTACTGATCGTCAACTGACTCGAACCCCTGCTCACGTCTAAATTTGGAAAATACACACAGGAAACAAAGCAAATGTCCAAGCCCACCACCGTCACCACCAACATGCGGTAGAAGCTCCATGAAACGTCTGAGCGACGATCGGATTGACACTAGATCCAGGCACAGAGCAGGGACAGGCTCGCAACCTGCACCAACTTGACTGTCCGCCCCTGAGCCGAACAGGCCGAAGCTTGGCTGGACCCAGCTGAGAATGAGAGAATTGCTGCAGAGACAGAGTAAACGGTGAACCGGGGGGCAAATTGAAAGAGAGAGTCTAGTCTTTGACGTGAGCTTAGACTGAGCTTGATTTCTGCTTAAAAGGAAGCACATTCGCAGCTTCAATTGTTTCTTTCTTCTCACTCTCTATCAAACGTTCTATCTGATTTTCCTATCATTTTCTTTTTTGTTTCCTTAATTCTTTCGTTTAATCTAAGTGTTTACACTTGGTCCTTTCGCTACTTTCCATTAAGTCTTTCGCTATTATCATTACAATCGTATTATCACAATCGCTAGCTATTTCAGCAACAAAAACAACAATCGCAATCACAACCCCACAACAACAACAACAACAACCCACTCTCGTTTAACGCTATGCGTTTCTCAACTCAGATTCTCCCTGCTTTGGGAGCTCTTGCTTCGCTGGGCGAAGCTACACCCACTTTCATCGGAGGCGGTGCCAATGGCGGCGCTTCTGGCGAGATCGGGGGCCACCTTGGAGGTGGTGCCGGTCTTGGTGCTGGTGTCGGTGCCGGAGCTGACGGAAAGGCTGGAGCCGGTGCTGGTGTCGGTGCTGGTCTCGGAGGCGGTGCCTCGGGACACATTGGAGGAGGAGCCGGCGTTGGAGCTGGTGCCGGTGGCAAGGCTGGAGCCGGAGCCGGAGCTGGTGTAGGCGGCGATGCTTCCGGTTCTATCGGAGGTGGTGCCGGCATTGGAGCCGGAGCTGGTGGCAAGGCCGGAGCTGGTGCTGGTGTTGGTGGAGGCGCTGAGGGTCACCTTGGCGGTTCTATCGGCGGCGGTGCTGGCGTCGGTGCTGGTGCTGGCGGTAAGGCTGGTGCTGGTGCTGGTGTCGGTGGCGGCGCTGAGGGTCACCTTGGCGGTTCCATTGGCGGTGGTGCTGGTGTTGGCGCCGGAGCTGGCGGTAAGGGTGGTGCCGGAGCCGGTGCTGGTGTTGGTGGAGGTGCTGAGGGTCACCTTGGCGGCTCTATCGGCGGCGGTGCTGGAGTCGGTGCTGGAGCCGGCGGCAAGGCCGGTGCTGACGGCAAGGCTGGTGTTGGCGCAGGTGCTGGCATTGGTGGCGGCGCTGAGGGTCACCTTGGTGGTTCTATCGGCGGCGGTGCTGGTGTTGGTGCTGGAGCTGGCGGCAAGGCTGGTGCTGGCGCAGGTGCTGGTATCGGCGGAGGCGCTGGTGGCCACATCGGCGGTGGTGTCGGTGGTAAGATTGGAGGAGGAGCCGGTGGTAAGGCTGGTGCTGGCGCAGGTGCTGGTATCGGCGGTGGTGCTGAGGGCCACATTGGTGGTGGTGCTGAAGGCCACGTCGGCGGCGGTGCTAAGGGTGGTGCTGGTGCCGGTGCTGGAGGCAAGGTTGGTGGTGGCCTCGGTGGTAAGATCGGTGCCGGTGCCGGTGCAGGTGCTGGTGGCCACCTTGAGGGCGACGTCAAGGGTGGTGCCGGTGGTAAGATCGGCGGTGGTCTTGGAGGCAAGCTCGGTGGTGGCCTCGGTCTCGGTGCTGGTCTGGGCGGTGGCCTTGGACTCGGTGCTGGACTCGGTGGCGGCCTCGGTCTCGGTGGTGGCCTCAACGGTGGTGCTGGTGTCGACCTTGGCTTCGGTGGCCTCGGTGGTCTCAAGGGTCTCCTCGGTGGTGGTATCAAGTGGAATGCCGGCGCTGAGGGTGACTGGCACACCGGTACTTCTTGCAGCATCGGCAACGCCTGGAAGGACCACATTCTCTTCCAGGGTATCTGCTCTCCCGAGACTTCTACCTCTCCCGCTGTCAACCTGGGTCTCAACCTCCCCAACTGCCAGATCTCTGGTGACATCGGTTTCGCTTGTGGAGCCGACTTCCTCAAGACTCCCAACGTCCGTGTCGGCCTCGGTGGCATCTCTGCCTACATTGAGATCGATCTCTCTGCTTCTGCTGCCGTCCACCAGTCCGTCGAACTCTTCGCTGCTCCCAAGCTCGGTGTTGCCATTCCTGGCCTCGACATCGATGCTGATGCTGAGCTGAAGGCTGCCATCGAGGCTGCCATCGCTCTTGATCTTATCGTCGGCTGTGGTAAGGCTGCCGATATCTCTGCTGGTGTCTACGTCAAGTTCCCTGCTTCCGCCTACGTCGACATTGACCTTATCTCCAAGAAGGTCATCAAGGCTTCTCTCGAGGGTCTCGTCACCAAGGCTCTTCCCGTCGGTGTCGGTGCTGAGGTCGACCTCGGTGCTGGTATTGATCTCCAGATCGGTCTCCGACTCCGTTCTGAGCTTGCTATCCCTGCTGGTCTCGAAATCCCTGTCCTCGGTCTCTCTGGCAAGGCTGGCGCTGGTGCTGGCTTCGGTGCTGGTGTCTGGTTCTCTCTCCTCGACTACTCTGCTAAGATTGGTGGCTCTGCCGGTGCTGGTCTCGACATCACTGGCGAGTTCGACTGCAACCTTGGTCTCGCTGTTGACAAGAAGTGGGACTTCTCTGGTGGTTTCTTCAACCTCATCCCCAACCTGTCTGTCGGTCTCGCCAAGGGTATCAAGTCCACCTTCTCCCAGAAGACCCGTGGTACTTGCGGTAGCTTCATTGGCAAGTTCAAGAAGGGTGGCTTCATCGGTGGTCCTTCCATCCCTGCTGGCGGCATGATCACTGCCACTGGCTCTGGCGACGCTACTATCTCTGTCCCCGCTGGTGTCACCAAGTCTGTCGAGTTCTCTGGCACCGTCGCTATCCCTGACGAGGATGTCCCTGCCCCTACCACTGTTCCCGGTGTTCCTGACGCTGCCGACTCTGGTTCTCTCCCCGTTGCTACCTCCGACGCCCCTGCTGGTGACAACGAGACCTCTTACGGCCCTGGCGGTGACTCCCCTGCTACCTCTGGTGCTCCCGCTGGCGATGCTACCGACTCTGGTTCTTCCCCTGCTGTCACCTCTGCCCCTGCTGTCCCCGACGAGAACACTCCCGTTGGCCCTGGCGGTGTCCCCAACCAGCCTATCACCAAGGGTGCTGGTGTCACTGACATCTTCGGCCCTGGCGAGACTGTCACCGTTTCCGGCTCCGAGGGCTTCACCACCATCATCTCTGGCTCCGAGGGTTTCACTTCTTACATCACTGGTTCCGAGGGCTTCACCACTGTCTTCTCTGACTCTGAGGGCAGCTTCACCTCTTACTACTCTGGCTCTGAGGGTTTCACCACCATCATCTCCGGATCTGAGGGTGTCACCAAGGTCGTTCCCGGTACTCCTGGCTTCACCACTGTTGTCTCTGGCTCCGAGACCTTCACCCAGGTCGTCCCCGGTGCTGGCTTCACTTCCGTCTACACTGGCTCCGTTCCCGTTGCTACCGGTGGTGACTACGATCTCCCTCCTGCCCCTGGTGCTGATGCTACCTCCGCTGGCGATGTCGCTGAGTCTGGCTCTCTCCCTGCTGCCACCACCGCTCCCAACGGCGACAACGGTACTCCCGCTGATGTCACCACTGGTGCTGGCTCTGACGCTGAGATCACCTCTGCTCCCGCTCCCGACACCACTGAGGCTCCCGATGCTGATGGCATGATCACCTCCACCATCCGTGAGACTCACGTCTACACCATCACCTCTTGCGCCGCTTCCGTCATCAACTGCCCTGCTTCTTACACTCAGAAGATTGTCACTGCTACTGTCATTGAGCGCACCACTGTCTGCCCTGCCTCTGCTACCGCTGTCCCCGAGGTTCCCGCTGAGGGTTCTGACGAGTCTGGTGCTACTCCCTCTGCTCCTGTCGAGGGTGGCAACGCTTCCCACCAGGGCCCTCACGGCGAGACTCCTGATGCTCCCGCTGACGATGCTTCTCCCTCTGCTCCTGTTGAGGGTGGCAACGCTTCTCACCAGGGTCCTAACGGTGACTACGCTCCTCCCGCTGACGGTGCCACTGGCTCTGGATCTCTCCCTGCTGCTACCACTGCTCCTGGTGCTCCCGCTGGCGATGCTCCCGCTCCCACCGCTCCTCCTGCTGCTGACAAGCCTACCATCGACATTGTCACCATCACTGAGGACGTCACCACCATCGTCCCCTGCACTGAGTTCGTTACCAGCACCTTCACTGCTCCCGCTACCATCAAGGCCCCTGAGGCCCCTGCTGTCACCATCATTGACAACCACACCGGTCAGCTCCCTGCTGCTCCCGCTACTGAGCAGCCCACTGCTTTCACCACTATGACCCGAGTCATGGCCACTGCCACTGACGGTGCCGAGTACCCTGTCGCCACTGGTGGTGACTCTTCCGCTGCTACTCCTGAGGAGGGTGCTCCTGAGGCCCCTGCCGCTCCTGAGGCTGGCTCTCCTGCCGCCCCTGGCTACGACCTCCCCGGTGCTCAGCCCACCTACAAGGCTCCTTCCAACGGAACCATTCCTTCTCAGGTTCCCGTCGTTGCTGGTGCCTCTCTCACCAGCGTTGGCAGCATGCTGCTCGCTATCCCTATGGCTCTCGCCTTTGTCATGTAATTTGTCATGTAAATAACTTAATTACTGAAAGCCTTACTGCTTTCAATGCCCGCATCAGATAGAACGTTTATGTATACAGCATTTCTTTCATCTAAACTCTCCACTGCCTTGTGACTGTGACCCAATGTGCATTCCAACTTTGTCTTAATAATTCTTTCTATCTTCACTATAAACTGTCTTGTCTCTTCTATCTTCATTGGTCTGCACATCAATTGAGTGCTCATTAAAACACTTTCTCTTTCTTCAGGTAAACTTTACTGCTAATGTTCCTTCTAAGTTCGTGTTCTAAGCCCAAGCAGACCTTGATCCATACAAACAGCTGTAGTATCGTCTCTACCTTCAAGATTTATGCCAACTCGATACATCAATAACAATGGTTTGTACTTGTAGCAAAGATGTAGCTGCTCGAACATCAAAAACAGCTTGGTACTGTGGTCTAGTTGGTCATGACATCTCGTTAACACCGAGAAGGTCCCCGGTTCGAGCCCGGGCAGAACCTCACCTTTTTGCCTCTAGAGCAAATAGCTGCTGGAATATGTGAACATGCACCTCAATGGCTCAATGGCTCAATTGGACTTGTATCTTTCTTATTTTCTTATTTTGTAATTCACCTATCCTATCTCCGCGTGGTCCGAAACTTTAATCTGTTCTTCAATGCTTTCAGCGATTTTACATATACACATATCATATATTGAAAAGGTTTCTTTAAAACTTAGAACAAGCTTTAGACGATCGCTGAAACTACATGTATCTTGATAGATCCGGCTTGTACTTTGCTGTAAACCCTTCCTATAATAATAACTAAGAGCATATAACAGTATGAACTGGTTGTAAAACGCGTGCGCCATGCCTTTTGTCGTGATTTGAGGTTATGCCTTTCGAGTGATCCTGTAGCTAACAGTACGTAGCCCATTCACTGGCGTGCCTCAAGGCAGTTTACACACCAAGATGCTCTGTCTGTTGCAAGAAAGAGAATTGAGATCTTACCGACTCCTTTGCCTTGAATCTCAACTCTACATCGCTTGATGCCGAGCTCAGCATGAAGACGCCACCGATGAAGGTTCATTAGGCGAATCCTGCCTCTGCTGGAACTCGGAATTTCGATACTGTTGCACGACTGCGAACTTAGAGCGAGTTGAACTTATTAAAAAGCTTATGCTTTAACTTAACCATGAACAGAGTCTATTCGACCTTTCTCGTCAGTAGTTACTCGAATCAGCTTAGAAGCATTGCGATGGAACTCATGTGTAACCTCGGACTATTATCGCAACAGTGTTTAGAGACAATAGACGGAGAATAGCGAGATTTGTTCCATAGGCTGGAGCTCATGCATCAGATTCTTTGATGTATCGCACAGTCCAAATGGGCATGCAACCCGTAGATGCGAGATGTCATGTATCTGTCATAACGTGATAATGGAAAGTCTAGTGAGAAATCGAAACCCAAAGATTGAATTTTAATCACTTGACCAGATGAAATTCAGCTGCCTGAGGCTGCTAAATCTTGATAGCTCGGAGAGCTGAGAGCTGTTCCGTGTTGTTGCCGACATGGTGTTGCGACTCGTGGTTGCACAATATATAATCTTACGTATTGGAGGATGTCCAAACCTGCACTGTGGCCTCTTGAGTGAAGAGAGAACTAGCTCTGGTTTAACAAATCTCTTGGTTTCTCACGATGGCTCGGTTGGGTGAGATGACTGTGTCCGATGATGGTGTGGCGGCGAGCAAGTGAGTGCATCGATTTTGGACCGTGACGCTGATATGAGTCGCATCGTCGATTTCCGCAGTAAGACATCTTTTATTTTTGTGTAACAGATCGTACGTATACATGTCCGATTCTCGGCCTTATCATTATGCCTTCATCAGCCAGCAATGGTTACATCAGGTGAACATCGCGACGGCAATTGGCACGCGATATTTAAAACACCGTCAGTCACTATCATTGTTTTAATTAATATCATCGTATGCGACCCTCAAGAAGCTCATAGATTGCCGACAAATTCATAAATCCATTTGGAGTAGTATTTGGAGCTGATCCGGCCTTACCGTGGCTGATAACCATTAAACCATTGATGAAGCTATCACTATTGGGGATTCAAGGTTCTCAGCATGATAAGCCACATCCATCGTCTCGGCGGCAAACTCAAATGCCCCGCAAAAGGCTTGTTTATTTTTCGTATTGGCTGTGGCTGGATTAAGAACGGGAATCGGTTATACCGCCGTGCTATTGCTCAAGCGGGAACTCACTTGTCCGATAGACACGACTAGTTTCTGCCATGTCTGGATCTGGGGGGGGGGGGGG